CGCTAATAGCGCTAATACGTCAATGGGCTTGCTTCGCAAGACGAAAAAACCGCTAGACGAAGACTCTCGCGGAACGGATTAATTTCGTCTTGCGAGGCACCACTGTATTCAGAACAAAAGGCTAAACTAATTGTAAATAATGTGGTGACGGAAGAATTTAAGATAGAAAAAGGGACACGACAAGGTTGCCCAATTTCCCCATTGCTGTTTATATCGGTCCTGGAGGTTTTGCTGAATATGATTAGAAGGGACCAGTTGGTTAAAGGTATACAAGTCGGAGCTAAACAGTATAAATTGAGAGCATTTGCAGATGACTTAGTATTGACGTTACAGGAGCCAGAATCTAGTACCAAAAGGGTTTTAGAACTGATTCAAGAATTTGGTCAGGTTGCTGGATTTAAACTGAATAAGTTAAAAACCAAGGTTTTAGAGAAAAACTTAACACCGATTGAGAGAGAGAGGTTTCAGAATGAGACAGGTTTAACAGTGGTTAAGAAAGTGAAATACCTGGGGATTAACATGACAGCTAAAATGGGAATCTATTTAAAGACAACTATGAAAAATGCTGGGCTGAAGTGAAAAAAGATTTAGAAATTTGGTCAAATTTGAAGCTTTCACTGCTGGGTCGTATCGCTGCGATAAAAATGAATGTATTGCCTAGAATGTTGTTTTTGTTTCAAACATTGCAAATTGTGGACAAAATGGATTGTTTCAAGAAGTGGCAGAGAGACATTTCTAGATTTGTCTGGCAGGGCAAGAAGCCCAGAATAAAATTTAAGATATTAACTGATGCAAAGGAAAGGGGTGGATTTGCCCTGCCAGACTTCAAACTTTACTATGAATCAGCAGCTTTTTGCTGGTTGAAAGAATGGCTGCTTCTTGAAAACACTGACATTTTGGATCTAGAAGGTTTTAACAATGTATTTGGATGGCATGCATATCTGTGGTATGATAAGGTCAAAGCACATAAAGCATTTAAAAATCATATTGTCAGGAAAGCATTGTTTAATGTTTGGATAAGATACAAGGACTTATTGGAAAATAAAACCCCAAGGTGGCTGTCACCGATGGAAGCGAAAGCTTTGAAAAAGCTCAATATGGAGGCCAAATGGCCGAAATATTGGGAAATTTTGGAACACGATGGAGATAGACTGAAATTGCAGAGTTTTGAGAATTAAAAACAAAGTGCGAGACTGGCTTCATTATTATCAGATAATGGAGGCATATAATTTGGACAAGAAAATTGGTTTCCAGGTGGAAAAATCAAAATTAGAAACAGAACTGTTAGAACCCAAAACTAAGATTTTGTCAAAGATGTATAACTTGCTGTTGAAATGGAATACTCAGGATGAAACGGTGAAATCTGCTATGATTAAATGGGCACAAGATGTTGGACATAACATAATGATGGCTGACTGGGAACAGTTATGTACCACAGGTATGAAGTTTACGGCATGCAATGCCTTAAGAGAGAATATTATGAAAATGATATACAGGTGGTACATGACCCCAGTCAAGCTTGCAAAAATTTATCATTTGCCCGATAATAAATGTTGGAAATGTAAAGAAACTGAAGGTACATTCTTTCACCTTTGGTGGACGTGCCCAAGGATTAAGGCTTTCTGGGAGATGATATATAATGAATTGAAAAGGTATTTAAATATACCTTCTTGAAGAAACCAGAGGCCTTTCTCCTAGGCATAGTCGGCCAATTGGTGCCAAAGAAGGACAGAACTTTTTTTATGTATGCCACAACAGCAGCAAGAATACTCATTGCAAAGTATTGGAAGACACAAGATCTACCCACTCTGGAAGAATGGCAGATGAAGGTGATGGACTATATGGAACTGGCGGAAATGACTGGCAGAATCCGAGACCAGGGAGAAGAGTCGGTGGAAGAAGATTGGAAGAAATTTAAAGACTATCTACAGAAATATTGTAAAATTAATGAATGTTAGAATGATGTTGGATAGAAATTAAGTGGTTTTCAGCTGTAATACTATAAGGGAATATGAAAAATGGATTATTAATAGGTAAAAATTTAACGTTACAATATTTTAAGATTAAAGACTAGGATAAACAAAGAGGGTAATGATTTGCTGAACCAACAAACTGAATTGGAATACAAAAAAGGGAGGCATGAGGAGGTCTGGGAAACAAGCTAATGAAAAATAAGTAATGGAAAGATTGAGTTGTTTTTAACCATTTTTATTTTGTACTTTTTTCTTTTTCTATTTTTATTTTGTAACATTTTGAAAATCTCAATAAATATCATATATATATATAACACATCAGGCAAGAAGCAGAGGCAGGCAGCATATGGGAAACCACCCCACAAGGCCAGGACTTACCGGATCACCAGTTGCATCTTCTCTGGAAAAGGCAGGAGTATGATGCTTCCTGGCTTTTCTTCTGCCTAACACCCCACCTGGCAGGAACTGTTAATGTCCTGCTTTGCAAGTTCCTTTTCTGCAGGAAAGCTGCCTGTGAAGCAGCACCATGCAGGATTGATGCCTCCATTCAACAGGTGTTTATATTGATGTTTTGCAAAATTCAGAGAAGAGTCAAACCTGAAGGAAAATTATTTTGTGATCTCCACATTAGATCAGATCAGCTTGCATTGGAATTCACATGAATCATTTTTAAAGCATCTCTACTCACACACCAAAACAGACTTTTCTTTAGAGTCTCTCACCAACCTAGCTCTAAGGTTCTGCATGTTTATATTGGCCCTGCTTATAATTCAGAACAATAATTAAGTATAGGGAGCCTGTGCCTGCGCTGTTGGATTCCAACTCCCATTAGCCCTAGCCACCATGGCCAATGGTGACCATTGCAGGCCAGAGCTTCCCCATCTCTCTTTAGGAAAGGGTTGGGTATTCACATTTTTACATTTATTTCCCACTCATCTCTATCCCAGCCTTCCTCAGAGTGCAGAGTGCAGCATTCCAGATACTTTTAATTACTACTCCCATCAAACCCAGACATCATAGCCAATGGTTAGGGCATGATGGGAATTGTAGTAGACACCATCTAGAGCAGTGTTTCCCAAAGCTGGGTCTACAGCTGTTGTTGGACTACAACTCCCATCATATCAGTGGTCAGGGATGATGGGAATTGTAGTCCAAAAGCAGCTGGAGACCCAAATTGAAAGACAATGATCTAGAGGGCCACAGGTTCTCCATTCCTGCTTGAGTGGTTATGTTCTTTCATTTAAATCCCACACTTCAGGATAGCACATGCATTTTCTCTCTTGCACATCCTATTTCATTTTCATAATAGAGTTGTAACTTAGACTGAGTGTGCCATGTCTGAAGATTACCCAGTGACCACAGGCATTTAATTGGCCATTGTAAGAATAGGATGCTGGAACAGATGGGCCATTGGCCAGATCCAGCACACTCTTTTTATGTTCTCAGCATCTGGAGGGCACCAGGCTGGAGAAGGCTGTTCTAACAGCTGCACCATCCTAGCTCTCACTACTGTTCATGGTTACCTGAAAATGTCCCCCCTTTTTGGCTCCTGTAGAATGTGCAATATCTTAAAAAGCAGAGACATCACCTTGCCAACAAAGGTCCGTATAGTTAAAGCCATGGTTTTCCCAGTAGTGATGTATGGAAGTGAGAGCTGGACCATCAAGAAGGCTGATCACCGAAGAATTGATGTTTTTGAATTATGGTGCTGGAGGAGACTCTTGAGAGTCCCATGGACTGCAAGAAGATCAAACCTATCCATTCTTAAGGAAATCAGCCCTGAGTGCTCACTGGAAGGACAGATCCTGAAGTTGAGGCTCCAATACTTTGGCCACCTCATGAGAAGAGAAGACTCCCTGGAAAAGAGCCTGATGTTGGGAAAGATGGAGGGCACAAGGAGAAGGGGACGACAGAGGACGAAATGGCTGGATAGTGTTTGTGAAGCTACAAACATGAGCCTGACCAAACTGCGGGAGGCAGTGGAAGACAGGAGTGCCTGGCGTGCTCTGGTCCATGGGGTCACGAAGAGTCGGACACGACTAAACGACTAAACAACAACAAGAATGTGCAATGATTTCCCATTTTTTTCTGCCCTTGAGTACATAGAGCAAGTTATTATAGAAGGGGTACCATGTACGCAGGCATTTATTTTTATTCCCATCACACCCCTCAGCACTTCCCCAGTGTTATTACTGCCTTTTTTTGGTTAATTTCATCAGCACAATTATATTTCTGAAGCATCAGCATACTTTGATTTGATTCCCTCTGTAAACCCCCTGTCTTCCCCTTTTGCGCTAATGAGCGCTGTGTTTGTAAGAGGATTTTCGCCAGGCAGCTGTACCTTAATGTCTTCCAGCAGGATTTACAATTTCATATGGCTGGATCTGGATTATTGTATACTTGATTGAAACATGACCAAATGGAAGACAGATGAAAGCGGAAAGCAATAATGTAGTATATTCTGGAGTACTGAAGCACATTTTCATTTTTAGAAATACAGTTAAATTAGCACTAAAAATGAAACCCTCGGCAAATTAGGAGCTGATGGATCACACTTTAAGAGGCAGCCATGGTGGTGTTTGCTAGAGTAAATACAGATGCTTTTATCCAACCTAAGTGAGTTGAACTTAGTCCCCATTAAAATCAACGGGACATGTTAGCCTTGAATAAAGGGATGTTCACATGTTACAATGACTGCACAATCGGGGGGGGGGGGGAGCTGAGCTGTCCAAAACAAGTAAACAGTAAATACTCTTTCATACAAACACTTGTACACACATGCAAATAACTTGTAGCTGTGCTCAGGTCAATGTGCAAGCAAGCTTTAAGTGGAGTCCTATTGGCTAAGGCCCCATCTGCACTTTGGTATGTGCTCTGTAACTGACGGAAGGTTGTTGTGGATCCACTTCTCTCCATGAGATTTCTCACCTCCCTTTTGGTTCTACTCATTCTCCACCTGGAACAGGGCACGGGCTTCTTGCAGTAGAGGCTGGTCCAGTTTGGTCAACAGGTCACTGCCCCACTAATCTCAGTCTTCTCTTCTGCCTTCTCATTTACAACCAGTCCAAGGGACAGCATGGCCTTTCAGCTTCCTCCTCATTCTGTGTTGCCCTTGTAGAACTCAACAGGGAGAAGGATGGGAACAACACCAGAATTAGTTGGCTCTGATTCTCATCGCCTCTAGCACCACCTACTGTTGTCCGCCCTACCGTACACCCTACCAGACTCAGTGGGTAGCAGTCCACCCATCCCAGCTTCTTGGATCTGAGAGTATGTCTCAAACAAACAAACAAACAAACAAATAAATAAATAAATAAAGCAAACTCCACACTCATGCATCTCTCTTTCTGGGTTGTAAATGCAACTAGTTCTCCTACTTAGCATGGTGAAATAGAATGGAAATCTACCTAGTAAGTTCAGAGGCATTAGAATTATATGGACAGGTGGGGGAAGGGTGGAGGCGATTGATTGCAAAAAGCTTGTCCTGCAAACTTTTCTACATGCCTCAAATTCCAGTCAATATTGCTTTCTTCATCTTTGTGTGTGTGTGTGTGTGTTTAGAAAGGCACAGCTAATTTTCAGGGACGCCATGCTGTTCCCAGAACAACTGGATGCTGAATAGTTTATCTGACACCAATCATTGGGGCTGTTTCTGCTTGGATGCTTTTAGCTTACAAATAGCTATCAGCGACAGACTTATTGTATACTAATCACTAGGCCATTTTGCATGATACTGCTGGCAAATCTTGTTTGAACTGCTGGTCATGGATAGCAGTGTTGAATTTTCAGAAATCAGATGCAGCCCTGATCAATTTGGTGGTGGAGGAGGGGAGAGAATGCACTTCTTTTGTTTTAGAAAGATGGAAGTATATTTTGTCCCAGTGCATGAACAAAAAGCAGAAAATGTCATGCTTTCTGCAAAGAACAGTTTAGGCCTCCCACGAGTTATTCGTGCAGACATTTGCTATGTTCCTTATTCAAGTATCTTTTGCAAGCCTTCATTTAATCAGAGGGGTCAAATTCTAATGAGCCCAGAAAGTGAAATTCTTCATCTAGCAGATGCTCAGAGATCCCTCCTTATTGGGAACTGCTTGATCTCCATGCAGCAATCCAATGTGTTGAATCATAGAACTGCAAGTGGCCACTTCTCAGTGAAATATCTCCAAGCGCTGGACTGTTTGGTTTCCTACTGCAGCTGAACTCTGCTTGAGCAATAAGGTTTTCCAGAGCTCTGGCCTATTCCTTGGTTATTCTTTTGGTCCTGCCTTCTGCTTTGTTCCCTCAACCCTGCCTTCTCCCGCCATAATTTGTCCTTTGGTCCCAACCACTGAGTGCAGCAGGGGATTCTGAGAAGACCATAGTGTTAGCCAGCAGGAAGGATGTCTTCTCACCCATCCACCAGTTACTTCCCATGCTCTACCTTAACCCCAACTCTCCATCTTCATGTTTCTGCTGTGGTCCACAGGGATGCTCAGTACAGAGGAGGAATGATGGCCTTAGCAAGGGGAAGTCTGTAGCTTCCAATTGGGTTGGTGGGGTAGGCAAGGCTTCAAGACCACAGAGAGGTTTATGGAGTGAATCCTGTAATTGAGGCCAACCATCCCAGTTGTCTTAGCAATGCCCACCCATCCCTGTTGACTTAGCAATGCAACTGGCTAAGTTTTACAGCAGTGCTAGGTAGTCATTGGCTGAAAGCCCCAACTTCTAAGTTGCTGCCTCCTGGCCAGTTAAAGGGCCAATGCGTTCTTCCACAGTTGTTGGCTACTCAGCTGTTCATAGTAGGGTTTACAGTTGTGGGGATTTCTTCTTGGGTTTCTCTCTTGATGCCCCAAGGTGTCTGCGGACCAGCCATCAAAGTCTGGTAGCAGAAGAGTCTTCCTAGGGCTCAGGGAAGGACAGGCAAGCTCTGGTGCCAGCACAGAGTAGGGTTGGCATATGTCCGAATTTCCCCAGACATGTCCAGGACTCCAATGATGGAATTAGAGTCCTGGGGGAATTTTGGGAAATCAACAATTTTTATGTCCATATTTTACTTCTTAAAATATGGCAACCCTAGCATAGAGCTAAAGGAGGAAGTTAGAAAAGCAATTCTCTTTCTTACTTCCTCCATGTACTTTTCAGTGCTCAGATTAATTCTACTGGAAGTAAGCAGAGGGGTTGGGGACCATGGCACTTGCACCCTAATCCAAATGTATCATCAGACCCCAAAACATCAGACCCCTGAATTAATTGATTAAAACTTGTTGGGTTACTCAATTAAGGTGTCTTTAATTCGGTGGTAGCCCTTTGTTTTAAACCCATGTTTGTATCTCATGAATACAGTGGAGGGTGCAGGTCTGGGTGATTTCTTCTGTAGGACCACTGTTGAAGGGAGAGGGACTTTCATTTATTGCTGCTACAGGAAACCACAGTTGTTCACCTTTAGGAATAAAGGCAGATGCACTGAGCAGTAAGTAGACAGCATTCATCAGAAGAGAAATGGAAATCAGACATATTTGAAAGAGGAGCCTCCAGACATTTACATTAAAAACATACTGGAGGAGTCTGGTTCGTGAAGGCTTTTGCAAATACTTCAGAGTTATCTGCTTTTCAAGAACATCTGTTTTTGCAAGTTGTCTGGGTAGAATTTAATTTTGATGTAACGAAAGCAAAGAGAGCCTGGAAAGATCTGTGGCTTTGCAGATTTGTAAGAATCCCCACCGCTTCATATACCAAGTGGGCTGAATCAATGTTAATGCTACCTTGTGGTGTTTTATTTTTTTTAAGCAACAAGACATTTCTGACTCCAAGACTTCAACCCAGGGTTCATTGGGACCACCTGTAATGATCCAGACCAGTATGGTGTAAAGTTATTTTTCAGTCACCCAAGTAAAGAAATCTCAGCAGGTTAACTTTACTAAGGCTTGAGGGATCAATCTATTGACTGAATTGATATATAGTTTCAAATATGCAAATATTTTCATCTGGAAATGAAGGAATACTCTCTCACACACACTACATATATGATAGATAGATAGACAGACAGACAACAAGGTCTGCTCTTCGCATGATCCTTTTTTTGTAATGAAACCAAGTTATTTCCTTTTAAATCGTTTTGATCCTTTCCCCTTCTTTACTACTACTGGATGGATACTTGTTTACTGCAGCTGCTGAAACTCTGTAACTGAAATATTCACTTACTTGCAAAGCTAAGTGGCTTTGATTTGTTCTAGCCTAAGTACTTTTGTGGGGAATGTTTGTTTAAAGGTGGATGATGTCAGATGTAAAATCTAACCAAGTTTTAATATGTTTGGAAAATATCAGCCATTGTGCTATCTAGGAGAAATAATCTGTTTTTCCAGCCTCTCTCTCCAACAAGGATTTTTGCAGTAGCTGGCTGGAAGATGAAGGCAAAGGAAAGGAAAGGATGAAAATGTCCTCTATTCATCTGTTCTTTCCAGCCCAGCCATCATGAATGGTCATAGCTTCCCTTTGTGTGACATTACATATTGTTAGGCACCACCCGTTCTTGGAGCTGTGAGATAATCTGGGCTTCCAGGTGCTTATCCAGGGTTCAGTTTCATTGGAATGAAGGTCAATGGAGACTGTGGTGTCTTCAGGATATATGGTTTTATTTATACCTATATACAATTTGAACATAGGATTGAGGGTACCTCAGCATGAACACCCCAACAGATCTCGCTTTCTTATTCAGTTTCTAGGGGAGCTCGAAATTCAGCACAGAGCAAGACATGTCTTTCTGTGTCCCCAGTTTCCAGAGCCAGTCCAATACACACACACAACTCTCTCATAGCCAGTCCCCACCAGCCTTCACCTAGGAAAAGGCCCACCCACCCACCAACTCTCTCATAGCCAGTCCCCACCAGCCTTCACCTAGGAAAAGGCCCACCCACCAAAGGTCTCTATGGAAACAGAGCAGATTCTTTAGATATGTTAAGTCATCATACTTAACTAGCCGGCCAAAGATCCAAAGTTATGGATGTAGAGGAAAAGGCTACAAAGTTAAAAGGGATATATAGAGGACATGTGGCAAGAGGCAACTGAGGCTGATGGAATAAAACAGTATTGATGTGGAGACCCTACAATTCAGAAGACCCAGGCATCACCTTCTATGCAGTTGGTGGATGATCTAAAATTAACAGCAGGGCTTGTGTGGATTCAGGAAGCAAACAACAGAGAATGATGGAGAGAACATGAAGAGGTGTCTATCCAAAGATGGATGTGAGATGTGGAAGAGGAAGACGAACCTCATCATTTGCATAAATTATAGCTGATGTAATGCTACGCAATTTGTACGCAGTGTTGGCAAAATCTGGACCCTCCTTTTGTTCTCCTTTATTCTGGCGTTCTCTGAGAGAACTCTCTTGGAATTCTGTGGTGTGCCTCACATGACATTACAGGGAAAGAGTGAGGGAGTGACCCATGCTGCGTTCCGAATAGCAGATTTCTTTTTCTCTGGTAACAGCAGTCAGAAGGAGACTTGGATCAATATATCACTACAGGTGGCTACTGAGCTATTGTGCATTCAGCTGCAACTGGAGACAAGCTACAATTCTCATCAAATGAGGTTATTGGCTTGAGAACTGACGGAGCGATGATCAGGGGCTGTAGAAAAGTGTTGGCATGGGAGTCTTCCACTCTCTCCTTTGTAGCACCATGATTACTTAGCAAAAACGATTAGCATCACCCAAAGTCTTGCAAACAGAAATGCAAGCAAAAGGAATTTGTGTCTGGGTAACTTAGGCTGCCCGGCATGAAACCCTCTGAAATATACTCGGAGTCAAGTGTGAATTTCATGCTCTTTATTTAGCTTGTAGTAGCAAGGAATGGAACTTTCCCCAAAACATCTAGCTATAGATACATTATTTACACAATGGGCCCTGCGTGATTGGCTAATTCCAGGCTGCTCCTGTAGGCCAATCAGATTGCTGATTCACTTCATCCAGGAGCCTGATTGGCTGCTCCTGCAGACCAACCAGGTTGCTGATTCACTTCCACCTGGAGCTGGATTGGGTGGCTCCTGCGGACCAATCAGACTGCTGCATTCTGGATCCTATTGTTCTAGGATTCAGCTCAGTACATAACACACTCCTAACTGTTGTTCTGCAGTCACATACTGTGGCCTAGCAGTGCTCCTCTTCAGGCTGCTGGCCAGCCAGCTTTGTCCTTTCCTATAATACTCCATTCCAGCCCCCATCAGACACTCTATTCTTAATAGTTTGAATTTGAGATTCCTCTCTTGGGAGTTTCTCTCTCTCTGAAAGATTTGCTCGTGCTGCTGTAAACCTTCGGTTTTCCCCAAACCCGCTGATATCTCCCAAATGGGTGGTATCATTTGGACCTCCTGAAGATGCACATTCAGAGATTTAAGTTCACTCTTGCGTATATATGGGTTTTCCTCTTAGCTGTTGCCTTTGCTATCCTGAGCTCCCTGTGGGGAGGAAAGGCAGGGTACAAATCCAATAAACTAACAAACAAATAATAAAGACCACCTTGTCTCTGATGTAATAAAACTGCAGAGATTAGAGTAACAAGGGAAGGGGAGCGAAAGCACCTTCTCCTCATCTTTTGATCAAGAATATGGAAACTGTGAAAACTCAAAGGGAAATTCCAAGCAAACATGTTATGATGAAAGACTGCTTGGGGCATTCTGTCCAGCAGAGACTTTTATAACCTTAGGGAGCTGAGAAAAAAGATCCTTCAATTTCAAAGGAAGATGTCATAACATTTGCCCTAAACTGAGCAGCAAAGTTAAGCTGATTTTATCACAGAAAACACTTTCCCAACAAACTTTTACCAAACAAACCTCCAGCGGGCCAGGACCGTGTTATAAACCAGGCCTTGGTTTGATTGTGTTGGTTCCCACTGCTCCCTGCCCCCCCCCCCCCACCGCACCTCAGTAACCTAGTTCCTTCTCTTTTTAAAAATGAAAACAATCAACAAATGTCTGGTTTCTAAACTGGATAATTCAACTTGGCTGAAGTCTAGAAAATGTATTGTCAAACTTCTTCCAGTTAACAATGGTCTTTCCAATTAATATCTGGAGACACAGCTTCTAAAGATTTTTTTCTCTCTCTCTCCTTAGCAATGTTCTGAATAAATCTGTTTTATTTTTAAATTCTCTTTTGAATAAAAAAGAAAAAGAGAGGAATAGGAAGAATATATTAAAGGGACTAGGGGATAAAAGTGTGTTGCAGAGAGGGGTGGGGGAAGCCACATAATTAACACAGGGAGATGGCAGAGATTAGTCTAAAGGCCTGTAGCTTTGTATGTGACTAATTATGCTCTCAGCAAAATAATGTTTTCAGACAGTGACATAATAAAGCTACCAAACTACTGTGTGTAATTTCCCAAGGCACACTGCATGCATGAATTAGGCAGTCAGTCAAAGAGAACAGTAATCAAGTCTGAAATATTCCTTTTAATAAAATGTGTTCGCCAGATCAATTTTTTTTAAAAAACAAATGAAAATAGGATATTGAAGAACTGAGCATTGCTAACATTTCCACCCCCCTTGTGCTATCAATGTCATAAATATTGCTTCGTCAAGTTTGTTCAATGAGATGAATTTAAAATATGATAAAG